GATCCTTCCACAAGTAAATTAAATTTCCAGAGAAACAAAATTGAAACTGTAATGGTCAGTGGTCAGACCGGTAGTTACTGATCCCTGTGAAACCTAGGTACCGAAAGAAAGTAAGATCAGTAAATTAATGGTTTTTGAGAGGAAAATTCTAAGACAATTTTTTGGCCCAAATAAAGAAAATGATAGCTGGCGAATTAAAACAAATCAAGAATTAAATAGTTAATTAACTATAAAAATATAATCAATTTTATACGTTCACAAAGACTCATGGGTTGGCCACATAGAGCAAATGCCACAACCAGTTGATCAGTTAAGAAGCCTATATTCACGGATACCATTAAGTACAAGATCAGGGGGAAGACCGAAAACATGATGGGAGGATGATGTTAGAGCTGACATTGTGAAGATAACAGTCCAGGACAGGACCACGTGGAAAGGCGTGATTAAGAAGACCAAAACTCTACGTGATTTGTAACGTCGAAATAGAAGAAGAGAAATTGGATATACTGAACACTTACAAATCATAACTAGAAGTAATTATAGCACTGCTGCTAATTCACTCACCCAACTCCTCACTACAGCACATACTAAGTCTTCTCAGTTTATCTTCACAGCCATTGTTTGGTAACTGATCCCTGCAATGCCTTCTGCTCACATTAGTGTCTGGTGAAAGTCTTGCACATAGCCCATGGCACCAAATGTCCTCACATTCTTGATTGACTGGAAGACTGTTGGTTAAATTGCTGCAAACCCTTGCCAGCATAGTTATTCGTGGCGTCAGATCTTGTTTCCTCTTCGATGAGTGGAGAGGTGGAGTCAGACTTACTTTACAACTAGGAGTTCACAGCCAGAGTTTTCTTGTCACCTTTCCAGCTGAACTCTTACTTTCATAACCATTATGTAACATCCTCTCTGATGAGATGATTTGTTTGTCTCTTATGAATAGGCTTCGCCTTAGTCAGATGTATTGCACATATAGCATGATAACAAAATTTATTTTTGTTTACTATATACCAGTCCTCTGTCAGTGTAGGCTATCTTACATATTGTATTCTGCAATGGCTACTTAGTCACTTGAATGGTTGTAAGCTTGACCACTGCCAAATTTAAGCCCCTTATATTATTTGTGCCTTGCTTTGCTTTGTCCTATGATGCGAACATGTTCGTTCTCATGATTTTGTATGACTTTTACTTGTTGCCTATACTAGGCATGTCCAACTTCAAACAGGTTGTGATCGAGTCTTTAGCGTCAAAACTGCCAGTGATCTACCACCCCCTCCTATTGTCATACCTCGCTTTAAGCAAGAATATTGGTAAAAATAACATGACACATGATGTTTGTTGTAAAAGTAACATCCATTGAAAGTACAGACTACTTTAACATGTATTTTCCCTTCAGAATCTGAATATAATCATATTATATTACAAGTGAATTCACATGCTTTTCACGTATAACTTCCTTATAGGCCTATGAGATCAACCAGAAATCATCCTGTGATCGACGCATTGGACATGCCTGGCCTATACAATTTTGTCATGTAATCATATACTGTATGTACGGTTGAAAGCTGTATGCAAATGGCTGACCAGTGTGCACCCCTTTGAAAATTTCTAATGGTGCAGTGAACCTTGTTTTGCATGAGCCGCCATTTTAAGAGGTAGGTGTCTGCTGCTAATTCCCAGGTGGAACAAGCACAGATCACTGATCTAATCAGTGCTTTAAGAAAGGTTAATTTTATGTTGGCACTTAAACACCAACTTTTGAATAGTGAGGAGATTCTAATAAATGTTCTGAAGGCCTTGGCTTCAGGCATTTCTGTATGTAGTCTCCACATAATCCTGTTATCGAAGATTTCACTGAGATATTTTACATGATTTACAAATGAGATATTGCATCCATTCAATGTAAGTTGAATCTCAGGGTGCCTGAGTCTTTGAGAAAAGATGGCCTACGAGGTGTATCGAAAATTCCCCAGATTGTTATTGTTGTAACTGTCTGGCATGAAAGAAGATGAAGGTGGAGGACAATGTCACATTTCCACAAGCCTGTCGCATCAGCCTGCCACGTGGCACAGCGCTGTGAACACACGTTGTTCTTACATGAGTGCTTTTTCGATTTCATGTTGCATTTTGTCTGCGATGGATGGCGAAATTGAGCAACGTGTCTGCATCAAGTTTTGTGTGAAGCTCGGCAAATCTGCTACCGAAACCTTTGAAGTGCTTCCTGAGGCTTTTGGAGAACATTCTTTAAGCCCAACATCGGCTTTTGAATGGAATTCACGTTTCAAGGCTGGTTGAATGGAAGTTGAAGATGACGAACGTTCAGGGCAACGAAGCACCAGCAAAACGACAGAAAATATTGAACAGAAATGAGAACTCATCCACGAAGACCGTCGCCAAACAATCCATCAGCTCGCAAGCACCGTTTGGATCAGTCATGGAGTTTGCCAGGAGATCTTAACAGAAAATTTGAACATGCACTGCATTGCCGCGAAGTTCGTTCTTCGACTCTTGACAAATGATCAGAAGCACCTGCGCTTAAACCTGTTTCTTGAGTTACGAGAGAAGGCTAACAAGGACCCAACTTTTACTTGGTATCTCTAGGGTCATACTCGTAACAGGTGACGAAAGTTGGATTTATGGTTATGATCCAGAAAGAAAACAACAGTTGTCGCATTGGAAGCACCAACAATCACCAAGAGTAAAAAGGGTAGCTGTAGGTTCGGAGTTCAACAAGAGCTTGCTCGTTATTTCTTTTATGTGAAGGGGATTGCTATCTGTAAATTTTCCCCTCCTGACACTACTGTCAAGTCTGACTTTTACTGTGAAGTTTTGAGTTGCTTGAGAGAAAATGTGCGACGAAAGAGAACTGAACTTTGGTGCAACCATAGCTGGCTCCTTCGTCATGACCACCCACATGTCCCTAAAATTCACTGAGTTTGTGACTGATAACAACATGGTTATTGTTCACCATAATCCCTACTTGCCACACTTAGCCCCCTGTAATTTCGTTTTGTTTCCCAAATTAAAAATGAAACTGAAGGGACGATGTTTTGAAACAGTGCCTGACAGCCAGAGGAATTGTAAGTGGTTTTCCACAGCATAAAAGAAAATGACTTCCATGGTGCTTTTGAAGCGTGGGGAAAAAAAAACAAATAGGTTTGCTGTATATGTTCCAAAGGAGACTGTTTTGAAGGAGATGACAGCCAAAATTGACTTAGTTAAGCCAGCATTTCTTTTTTGACCTAGTCTGGGAACTTTCCAGTACGCCTTATAAGGCAGGCATGTCAAACTCAACTTCAGAGGGCCACCTAAGCCCTATAAATAATAGTCCAGGGCCGCACTTCAAAATAGAAATATACATTAGATTTTGATACAAGGAAATTTAATTCTATTTATTATTTAGGAATAATTTCAATATAATTACCTAAAGTCACATATCTTACAGTTTTAAAAAGCAAGAGAATGCCATTTTTGACAAGTATCAAACAGCTTTTCAATATGTAAAAAGAGAGATTACACAAGAAATTATGTTAGAAATAGCAAAACATTGAATTTCCTGCAGCCTGCTAATTTATGTCTGCGTGAGACTTCTTGTCTTCTGGTCTGTTGGAAAATTTTCTTTACAAAAAATATTTCTACTAAAATTTTAATATTGATTTTAATATCAATTAGCTCTAAAAGTTTAGGGGCCGCATGTTTGACACAGCTGTTGTAAGGCTTCTCTTAATTGATTATTATGTTCCAGTGCTCACACCATGTTTCAGTAGCACCAAGATCTCGCTGCAGCTTTAGAGAACATGACCCTCCTTGCAATCTATTATATATATATAAAACATATATATATGTGTGTGTGTTTGTTTGTGTGTGTGTCATCGGCAAAGTGACCCCGACTGAATGTGTAGAGGATATTATTTATGTAGTACTGTACAATGTGGGGGACAGGATGGAACCTTGTTGCACCTCTGCTTGTATATCCCTTGGCATAGACATTTCACTTTCAGCCAAGACTTTGAATTTTCTCTGTGAAAGAAAAATGCTAATAATCTTGATAAGAGTGATTGAAAATTTTTAATTTAGATAATTATATAGCTAGGCAAAATGCCAAGGGTAGAGCAGGGACTCTTTGAGTCTTCTGGAGAAATAGATCACCTGAGTTTTCCCTACATTGATCTTTATTTTCTGGTGCTCACCACGAATTCACTATAATAGTGAGTCCGCATTGCAGTTTGCAGAGAACATGACATTTGTGTTTGTCTGTCGCATAAATACAGTTTTTTTTGGGGGGGGGGGAACAGAGCAACATGAGTTTCAGGTTCTGCAAGGACATCATTTATATATAGATTTTACAATATTGGGGCAAGGACAGAACCTTGAGGAACCCCTGCCGCTATTTTTTGTGCCGTAGAAAAGTTGCCTTTTATCAAGACTTTAAATTTTCTGTTAGTGAGAAGAGAAGTTATTAGCTTAATGCTAGTTGTCAAAAATTCAAATTCTGGTAATTTTATATTAGGCCAGAATGCTATGTTATGTCAAAAGCTTTCTCAATATCCACGAACACAGCAGCCATCAGCATACTGTTGAAATTTAGGGTGATGTGGTCCTTTGTCGAAGAACTCTGTTATAATTATCTTATTAGACTAGTGACATAATAAGATAACCACAGGTTTTAAATAGAATATATAAATGTGAAAGTTATTAGTTGTAAACAGGCAATTTAAGTAATATTTTCCTAAGGGAAATATATGGCTTAAAGTTTGGAAAGTGCAGTAGCCTGTGTATTTAGCAGTGAGCATCATTGCATATACCAAAAATCACGTTAAGTGGTCATATTTGTTTAGTAGCTTATGGACTAACACTGTTTGAGAGCTATCAATTATGCAGTATTCAGACCCACTGCTTTTAACTCTATCCATATTTCCTGTAACAGGAGCTATGGAAAACAGGTTTTGTGCACGTTTGTACTACAAAAAAGATTGTTAAACATTGTATCATTGCAGACATCGGGAATAGGAGAGCCAAGTGTGCACCATGCCCTGGTGGTCATCTTTCTCGAGTTCTTTGCATGGGGTCTCCTTACCATGCCTGTCATTTCTGTGAGTATTAAATCCTAAGCTTGGTATTGCAGATTAACTTCTTTATTTGCCCCTTCCCCCCTCCCCCATAAGGTTATACTTATATGTGTGGGATGGCAGTGAGAGCCCTGAGTAAAATTGTACTTTAAGTATGATTTTTTCTGTGTTCCAGGTCCTTAATGAGACATTCCCTGATCACACATTCCTCATGAATGGACTCATCATGGGTATCAAGGTAGGAGTATCTTCTTTAGTAATAGGGGTTGCAAGTGGTTCAAGCAGACTTCTATGCCTAAGTCTATAAACAGGGGAACTGAGTGATTTCTCTCAGCTTGTACCTTATTCAGTTTACATTATGAATTTTGTGGAATGAATCCTTGGGTGGGCCTTCTAAATAGCCACTATGCTTTATGATATACAGGGTGTCCCAGGAGGAATGTGCCAAACTTCGGGAGGGTGTTCCTTATGTTAAAGTATGCCGATATAACCCAAAACACCTATGTCCAAAGTTGAACGGTTACGGAGATAATGGCCAGAGAAGTGTCAAACTTTGACCGGGGTTACACACTTGTTGATTACAAAATAGATATTAAAACTGGCAGGAATATGTGGATTCTGTAATGTTAATAATGTACGTAACATCAAAC